GGCTATTTTTTCATTGATTTTTAGAGAAAGTGAAAGAGAGGGAGTGAGGGGGAGAGAGAGAGAAGAGAGAGAGGAGAGAGAGAGAGAGAGAGAAACATTAATGTGTCTCACATTGATTGGTTGTTTCTTGCAAGAGCCCCGACTGGGAGGAGATCAAACCTGCAACCCTTTGGTGTGTGGGCTGGTGCTCTAACCACTAAGCAATGATGGCAATGGCGCCTTTTGTTGAATTTCTCATCATTTCCTTAGATTGATTTCTAGAAGTAAAGTGATTGGGTCAAGTTTATGACTTCTTTTAGGGCTCTTAATGCAAGCATTACATGCTTGCCAGCATTGAGTAGTATAGTTTATTTTTCTTTGCAAAATTGCTATATGAAAAATATGTTCTTTTTTTGTCTTTCATTGGTTAATATTGAGCTTATATTTTTCATTTGTTTATTAGCCTCTTGGAAATTTTATATTTTTTGTTCCATGAATTGCTCTAGTGTAAAGAATCATTAGTTGACTGTTACCAAATAACTAAAGTCAGATTTCATCCCAAATATCAAATCCTTTATTCTTTTGTCAAACTTTAAAGGAGAAAATGTGTCTTCAGCTTACATTATTTTCTTTTTAAATGTCCCTGGGGAAAAAAAAATTCTAATTCTGTAGAATAAAAAACCAGGAAGACAGCCTGGCTGGTATGGATCAGTGGTTGAGCCTCAATCCATGAAGCAGGGGGTCACAGTTTGATTCCCTGTCAGGGCACATGCCCCGGTTGTGGTCTGGATTCCCAATACAGGGCATACAAGAGGCAGCCGATCAGTAATTCTCTCTTCCTCTCTCTTCCTTTCTCTGAAATCAATAAAAACATATTTTAAAAAACACATTAAAAAAAAAGCACACCAAGAAAACAAAAGGTCCATGTCAAAACTGATATTATGACTTCACACAGATGAGACATAAATGCTAAGATTCCCATTATAGAATGACCTCTCAAAACAACCATTATTGTATTTGCTGTTTAAAAGTAACACAAGTTCACTGGAGGCAAGGGGGGAGGGTCAAAAAAGTATAACAAAGCAACAAAATTCATCTTTTATTCTACTACCCAAAGATCATCACTGTTAATATTTTGGTCTATATCTTTCTAGACTTCTTCCTGCAAATATACTCTGACATTCAACAGTGTCCTGGGGGTAGAGAATTTGGGACAGATAAGAAAGGGTGTGATTTTTTTTTTTTTTTGTAAGTGTTTCAAATGTTTTTGAGACAAATGGGTTTAAAAGAAGGAATAGGCCTGCTCCCCAGGCTATGTTGTGTTTTATTTATACATGGACTCACTAATTCAATAAATATTAACCACTTTCTATGTGTCATGTATTGGCTTAGGGGCTCTTCATTATGTGGGTCTCCGGCTTTCCCCTACAAGTTGGGGACACATAAATTCAGAGAGACTTACTCGAAGTCACATGAAGAAGTGATGGACCAAAGCCTCTACTGTGTTTTTCCCCACAACTGTTTAACCTCGTTAATTAATGGAAAACAGCATTTCTGATTAATAAGAAATCCCCATCAGTCACCAAATTCAGTCCTGAAAGTTTTTAAAAAAATATATGTTATTTATTTTTTAAGAGAGGAAGGGAGAGGGATAGAAAGTTAGAAACATCGATGAAAGAGAAACATCAATCAGCTGCCTCCTGCACAACCCCTACTGGGGATGTGCCTGCAACCAAGGTACATGCCCTTGACCAGAATCGAACCTGGGACCCTTTAGTCTGCAGGCTGACGCTCTATCCACTGAGCCAAACCGGTCAGGGCCTGGAAGTTTTTTTGAGTGTTACTTCTTGGACACTTTAACATTGAAGCCAGGACAAGAAAATACACTCTTTAAATATTTACTAAAAAAAAAAAAAAAATCTTTTGTTTAATATTTAAAATTTTCATCTTAGTGGAGCTGTTTTCTTTTGGGAAAAGACTTCCTTGATTAGTATATTTTATTCTTCTTTCTCATATATTGCTATCTCTCTGTGGACTGGATTGGAATTTCTTTGGCAATTAACCTTTCCTTGTTTTAATAACTGTTTTTAAATTGTGGTAAAATAACACATAACATAAAATTTGCCATTTTTATCAGTTTTAAATGTACGTTTCTGTGGATTAAGTCCATTCACATTGTTGTGCAGCCGTCATCACTGTCCATCTGTAGAACTTTTTCATCATCCCAGACTAAAACTCGGGACCCACTGAACACTACCTCCCATTCTCCCCAAGGCCTATTGTTTTTAAAGGAGATAGATACCTTTAATAAGCTTAGTTTTCTTTCATGAATGAGCACATAATTGTTTCAGGGATATGAAGAAAAGGGATATTTGTTAATATAATGACAAATGCAGAACCTACTGACAAAGGTATATAATTTGTAAAAATAGCTGAGTGGGCAGAATTCTGATTTTCAGTTGCCCGAGGCACTTCAGTGCACTTCTGATGATGATTTTCCTTGGGCTTGTAGTTATACTGATAGAAATCACATCCATGCATAAAGAGTGAGCTTAATTATACATAACTACGTATGATGATGAGGTTTTACATATACTTTCTTATTTACAAAAGAGGAGACACTAATTCTAACTCATCTCAAAAAAGTCGTGTGTGTCACCCTCAGAACATGAGAGTTTTATTGTATGTTATTCTTTTTTGCAAGAAGACACTATATCTTCACTATATCTTGCCGCCCCCCCCCCACCCCCGCCCTGTTCTGGGAGCTGTTTTCATTATATGGGGCCTCCACAGTCCCCTCTGGTCCTTGTTGTGACTGAGGACGGGGAGGTATACAAAGGCTGAGTTAGGGTTTAGGGCGGTGGAGCAAACTCACTATTGCAAATGACACTTCTTTACATCCTCAGCTGATTTGTACAGAGCCTAATCATTTAAGCTCAACATAGTTAAAATTAAAAGCAGCCGGAATTGTTTGATTGCTAATGTATGCCCCAGGCACTGTGCTAAATGCTTCACATGTATGATTCCATTTAATCCTCACAATCCTAGGAGATAAGAATCAAATTTCCACATCACTGATGGGAAAACTAAGGAACAGAAAGATACATAACTTGCCAAAAGCACACAGTTTATAAGTAACCAACTGAGGGTTCAAACCCAGGCAGTCTAGAGGCCTTGTTCCTGGCTACTCTGTTAACATGCGCTCCCGGTCCAGATCAGGTTTGACAGCAAGGTTTCCTTGTAAGAGAGTCAGGGTTAAACACACACACACACACACACACACACACACACACACACACACACCTGTGTGGTGAGGTGACAGGGGAGTCCGAGGGAAGGTCAGGCACTGGGTTTGGAGGTAAACGCTCTCTAGCAAGGGAGGGAAATGGGAAAGGCACGGTTGTCTCCTTCTTCCCTGTTTGTTACCTGTTGGTGAGAGGAGGTGGGGAAGTCTCTAAGCTGATCCCGGAGGAGTCAGGTCATTCTCTGTGCTCCTCTCTGGTTTTCTGCCCCTTTGCCCCAGGTCTCCAAATTGCTGCCTCCTCCTCAGAACTGCTCTCTCTTGAGAGAGCCACTTCTCCGGAACGTAACCCTCAAGTTCTCTCCTACCTCCCAGGCCTCCTGAGCAGCCAGCCTTCTTCTGAGCGGGTTGTTAGGACAGTGCTGGGCTTAAGTGACCGGCTCTAAGGTGGGCATGACTCCCCTCCTCACAGTTCCCCGGTTCTCCCAGGAACACAGCCCCGTCTGCATTCCTGAACGAAGTTTTAATGCAGATGACTCCCCCAGGGAGGGGACATTTCTGGACAAGGAGATATTGACGGATCCTGCCAGAAATTGAGGAGGCTTGGTGCCTGCGTCCCGGCACCGGGAGTGGGCCAGGGTGACCTAGGAGCCTCGGGACCTCAGCGGAGATCCCGGCCCACTCGACCTCTGGTCCCCTCCACCCTCTAGTGGGGCCAGAAACACTCCCCTGAACCCTGCTCACGGTTTCTGCTCTCAGGTACAGTCGTCCACACACAACTTAAAATGAGGAGAGGTAACGTTTCCTGGGAAGATTCCTAATTCCAAATAACATGTTTGCAGACAGTCTCATAAATTTTGTGAGTTAAAGTCATGTTTCAGGAATAAGCACTTTATATCTATAGGTGGCATCTCTGTGAATAATTTTGTGTATCTTGAGGTCTATAACCCGCCCCCCCCCCAAATCAAGAGGTGGCCTGCCATGCCAAATTATGCTAAGGTCTCAGTGTACTTTTGGTCATTAAACTCCCCTGCTACCTCCTATAGAGGGTAGCAATGTTTCCTACATTTCACCTGAATAATTGTACCTCAACTTATGTGAAAAATGTTTTCTGATGAGTTTTAATGTGGTGACATGATAGTCAGCATGTCATTGTAACATAGCTCCATTTGACAGCAGTGCTGTTTGTGGTTGAGTCCTAGGAAGCATTTGTTTAAAATTATCTATCTATACATATAAAAGCCTAAGCGACCATTATGACCAGTTGACTGGTCACTATGATGTGCACTGACCACCAGGTTTGGTGGTCAGTGCGCTCCCACAGCCAACTTTCCGCAGCCAGCCAACCTCTGGTTTCTCCCCGCGCTGGCCCCGATTGGCCCCTATCAGGACTGGGCGAGACAGCCCTGATTAGCCCTGATCACTGGCCAGGCTGAGGGACCCCACTCATGCACTGGGCCTCTAGTGTCATATAAATATAAAGAGTGAAGACTAGGTTTAGGATGGAGACCTGCTAGTTACCAACCAAGGGGCTAGAGGTATTCTTCCACTCCCCTCCATACTCTTGTCTTCTTTTCTGCCCCCTTTACATCACGATGACAGTGTGGAATAGCGTCCTGAGCCTATTCTGAACACACTGCCCCGTTTGGTCAAGTTACCCCCAAGCTACCGCCTGGGTCACATCATGACAAGAAAAAGGTGTTTTCCAATGACATTAATCCAAGAGCAACCGGAATTGGCTTCTTTTCATTTTCTATCCTTTATTTCATTTTAATTACAGCCGCTTGGAGCCAGTGACTATTTGGAACTATCAAAGAATTTTGATACAGTAATTTTGCGAAACATTCCCCAATTTACACTGTCAAAAAGGAGTCAAGCTCGAAGATTCATAACTCTCATTGATACCCTCTATGATTTCAAGGTAAGGATGAAATGTGCATTTTCTCAAAACTGAACCTTTTAGACTGTGGAGCTACTTCGCCTAGGCTGGAATCCTGGTCTACCACCTAGTTTACTTCAGTGTGCCTCAGTTTCCTCATCTGTAAATTGGGATAATAATATGTTTTACTCCAGAGAATTGTGAGGACAAAATAAGCTAATCCGTGTAAAGCATTTAAAAAAAATGTTTGGCACAAGCTGAGTGCCGTGTAAATATTAGTAGTAATAGTACTAGGAGTAGTGGTAGTATAATAAAACTCCCATCATAAGACCCTCTGCTATCTTAATGATTCCCTCATTCAACTAGACACATCCTGTGCTCTATGACGATGTTCAACACAGTTCTTTGCCTAGACTGAGTGTGCAATAAATATTTGAACGAACAAATGAATGAGTATCTAAAGAACCTCCTCAGTATTGGCTCTCTGTCTCCCTATGACCCAGAAACCTAGTAATAGTATTGCACCATCTTATTGTTGTTGTTTTCCAGCCTTGTGTTTTAGCGTGAATTGCTGAGCCATTGTCCGTTCATCAGAGGTGGTGCAGCCTCCTGGTTAAGGAGTGGGCCCCGGGGTCAGGCTGTCTACCTTGAGACCAGCTTAACCTCTTGAGATGCAGTTGCCTTCAGTGGAAAAACTCAGGAACAATGGTACTCATCTCACATGGCTGTCGTGAGGATTAAGTGAGCGTATAAAGCACTTAGAACATTAGGGGGCTGTGTAAGCTTTTAGTGAGCCACTGCTAGTAGTCTACACCTGCCACTGTATATTTTCAGTAAAAGTATTAGTACAATTTCAAATTAGAGTTAATTAAATACTACTTTACTGTTAGATACAATTTTGCTCCCTATTTCTTATACAGAAATAGAGCAGTGATGTTAACATTGAAAGGACTTTAGTGGGAGGAGGAAAGGCCAGAATCTTCTGGGAGACTTTAACGTTTCACTCATTCATTCTTCCACCAACCTCCATCATGCCGAGCACAGTGCTGAGCGCTGGAAGTTCAGTGACAAGCAAAGCCAGGTGTGGTGCCTGTCTTCGCAGAGTTCACATCTTAGTGTCAGAGAAGCAGTAATCAAATGTCCACAGGACTAAGTGTGAGTCACCGCTGTGGGATGGTCTTTTGGAAACATGGTGCCATGAGAGTCTAGGCCAGGGGTGGGCAAACTTTTTGACTCGAGGGCCACAATGGGTTCTTAAACTGGACCGGAGGGCCGGAACAAAAGCATGGATGGAGTGTTTGTGTGAACTAATATAAATTCAAAGTAAACATCATTACATAAAAGGGTATGGTCTTTTTTTTTTTTAGTTTTATTCATTTCAAACGGGCCGGATCCGGCCCGTGGGCCGTAGTTTGCCCACGGCTGGTCTAGGGGGAGAGTAGACTGATCTTCATGGGGGGCGGGGGTGGACACACGGAAGTCCGGCAGAGGACCACCTGCCTCAGAATCACCTGGGCTACCTAAGATCTGGATTCCAGAGCCCACCCCATCTGGCAGAGGATGGCGCCTGGAACCTGCGTGTTCATGAACTCCTCCAGTGCTTCTTAAAATGCTGAGAAGAGATGGCTGAGCTCCAGGGCAGGTGAAAAGGGCCTGCGATGCGCCTGAGCATGAAGGGCAGCCCGCCTGGCTCTGGTGCAGGGCTGCGGAGCCCCCCTCACACACGGCTGCCCACTCCCCTGGGGCCAGCGTGCATATGATCGGGAAGCCAGGAGAGGCCTGAAGCTGAGGACTCCAGAGCTAGGGGATCAAGTTCCAACCATCGTTAGTGGTCTCCTGGTCACTCATCAGAGAGTGCTCTGAAAGGATCGCAGGGGCCGGAGTGAAGGGAGTGAGCCTGGAGGCAGCCCTCAGCTCTTACAGGGCCAGTGCTCCAACATGGGGTGATGGAGGGGGATTAGGAGGTGGTTCTTAGAGTGTAGAATTGATAAACTCTTTAAAAAACATATACTGCAGCTAGGAATACCTTAAAGAAAGCTTAGCCCTGGCCAGTTTAGCTAAGTGGATAGAGCATCAGCCCTCGGACTGAAAGGTCCGGGGTTCGATTCTGGTCAAGGCCACATACCTCGGTTGCAGGCTCGATCCCTGACCCTGGTCAGGGTGAGTGCAGGATGCAACCGATCAATGTGCCTCTCTCACATTGATGTTTCAAAAAAAGAAAAAGAATGAAGAAAGCTTATGGTCCCCACCCCCAACTCTCCCTCTCCCCCACTGTTTCATCTCTTAATTAGAGAAAAAGGATTTATCTGGCAATATGATGGACTCTCCTAACATTTACATCAACTAAATCACACATTTAAAATCATCAAAATGATCTTACTTCAAAATTGGGAGCATTAAACACATTATTCTAGGATGTATTCATGGGAATTTGTGAAATAAGGGTATTCCCATCTAAATAATGAAAAAGGTGTCATTTGTGATTAAAATAATTTATAAAAAGAGGTGGAAAGCCATTTGGATATGGGAAAACTAGCCCCACATGTGAATACATTATTTTAAAGTATTGCCATATTTATTTAAATAACTAGAGGCCCAGTGCATGGGTGGGGTCCAGCCAGCCTGGCCCCAATCAGGACGGATCAGGGCCAGGACTGTTGGAGGAGGAGACAGTGGGAGGTTGGCCGGTGGCCCACCCCAATTGGCTGATCAGGGCCGGGTCGGCTGGGTGGAGGGGCCAAGGGTGAGTGGCCAGTAGGCCCCACCCTCAATTAGGGAGGCCGATTGGGGGTGGGGCTGGCCATGGGGAGGGTCTGTGGGCCAGCCGGCCTCCCCCCCGAATTCCCTAGGCCTAGCCTGCGATCAGGGCCATGTTCTGCCTGTTCGCCAGTCCCCAGTTCCGCCCCACCACTGCCACCACCACCGATCGATTGGAGCCTGAGGGCCGGGAGGAGGGACCAAGAGGTCTGCCTTCTGCCCACTCGCCAGTCGCCGCTGCCACAGATTGATCGGAGCCTGACCACCCTGATCAGGGTGTTGGGGGCAGTCTGGCCTGGATCAGGCCGGTTCGCTGGCCGCAGTGGGCATCATAGCGACCAGTCTTTTCAGTTGTTATAGCGTTCTGGTCGCTGGCTTTTTATATAGATAGATGATTTTCAAAGGATTGCTGTGAATCCTGAGAACAAATTCAGGACTTTAAACACCAAGGAGAGTATGTTTTGTATTTAACCTAGTGGACGCAATATTTGTAGAGATATAAAAACTCTTTCCAACATGATTCTCACCTATGCCCACTCGCTCAAACACTTACGCAATCGAGAAATATTCATGTAAAACTTAGTCTTTTGAAAGAATGTCTTAGCAGGATGTCGATGTAAATGTAGGTTCTGGAAACTCAGGGTGCAATTGGAGGAGCATTGCGCTGAGCTCAGCAGTCACCCACCCAGCACAGCGGTGACCTCTGTACAGTGCGTCTGGGGAGTGTCTCCGATGCACAGAGACAGCTCCACAGCCAGGTATACACGTCACCTCATGTGCAATGGGAAGACCCTTGGGCTCAGAGCTGGAAGGTCTGGCCCGGCATCACAAGCTGAGGCCTCTCCAGGCTTGAAGTTACCCAATAAAACCTTTGCTCCCTTTTTCACAGGTTGGTATAAGCTGTGTGGAAATATTTTGACAAGTACTGTGCAGTTTAGAAATCACACTTCAGACAGATACAAACTATTAGGAAAAGTATGGACATTTTAAAAGCAAAATCTAAGCTCTCTGTTATGACAAACAGAATTTTATTTTCTGATTTGTTCTTGCCTTCAACTCGTGAAGTGTGAGGAGTAACACCATCTACTTGTTTCCCTCTCTTTCAGGTGCGCATAATTTGCTCTGCATCGGCTCCTTTATCAGGCTTATTTCTGCATCAGCCTCATGACAGTGAGTTGGAGCAAAACAGAATAATGATGGATGATTTGGGGCTGAGCCAGGTAGCTTATATTAACATAATCTCATTTTATTATAAAACAGCTTAATTGTTTTTGGTTTGATACATGGCTACATTTTGCAGAAGGAATGTAGTATATATTTAACTGTTGATTCGCTGCTTCTTGAGCTGGTATAGCAGAGTTCCTCCCAATATCACTAAATGTAGAGAATTAGAGTCTTAGAGTGAAAGAAATCTTAGTGATTGTATTTGCTAATGACAAAAACAAAGTACAGATTGGTTGACTAATGGGCATGTGGTCATACCTCTGACTAATGACAGCCCAGAGCTGGATGCCTGGCCACCTGCTGCCTTTTCTGGACATTCCTGTTCATGTCTGCTGGGTTTGTAGAGTGCATAATATAGCATCCAATTGTGGGCCGGCTATTCCAGGACCATGGAGTGCTTAGCAAGGCCCTTGGCTTGCAAAGAAACCCATGATTCTTCTCCGAACCCCCATTCCCTAAACATGTGTGGAGTGCCTGTGGGTGCCAGGCTCCGGGGACGCCCTGTGGGGAACCAGCCAATGCCAGCTCGCTTCTCCTGGTGCTTGGGGTTTGGTGATTCACCCAAGGCCACCCAGAAGTGACTGCATTTCCTTCTTCTGTATTAACATAAATAAGTGTGTCAGGTTATATTTCTCAACTGTAGATAATTGAAGTATTAGTCGATGCTTACACAATCCACAAATTAACTCAAAATGGATTGAAGAATTGAATATAAGGCCTAAAATAATAAAAATACATAGGAGAAAACATAGGCACTAAACGTAGAGACCTTGGTCTGAGAGGGGTTTTTGTGAACTTGACCCAAAAGGCAAGTCAAGTAAAAGAAAAAATGAATGGACTACATCAAACTAAAAAGTGTCTGCACAGCAAAAGAAGCCATCAAGGATACAAAAAGGCAGCCAACCCTCAGGAGAAGATAGTTGTAAATGATACCTCCAATAAAGCTATAATATCCAAAATGTATAAAGATCTTATACAACTTAAAAAAACAATTTGATTAAAAAATGGACAGAGGACCTGAATAGATAGTTTTCCAAGGAAGACACACAAATGGCCAACAGATAGATGAAAAGATGTTCAACCTCACTACTTACAGTGGAAATGCAAATCACACCTATTGGAATGGCTATTATCAAAGAAATAAGTGTTGGAGTGGGTGTGGAGAATGTAAATTGGTGCAGCCATTATGGAATACACTATAGAGTTTCCTAAAAAAAATAAGAATAGAGCTGTCATAAGACTCAGTAATGTCTCCTCTGGGTATCTACCCCCAAAATTTGAAAACACTTATTTATAAAGCTATATGTACCCTTCTACTGGCACCTTAATCTTGGACTTCTAGCCTCTGGATCTGTGAGGAAATAAATTCCTGTTGGTTAAAAAAAAAAGATATATGTACCCTTACATTCATTGCAGCCTCATTCACAATTAGCCAAGACATAGAAACAACCTAAGTGTCCTTCGATGGATGATTGGATAAAGAAAATATGGTTCATATGTACAATGGAATACTACTCAACCATAAAAAGATGAAACATTGCCATTTGTGACAACCTGGATGGATCTTGAGAGTGTTATATTAAGCGAAATAAGTCAGATGGAAAAGGACAAGAGTTGTATGATTTCACTCAGATATAGGATAGAAAACAAAAAGCAACAAATGAGCAAACAAAACAAACTCACAGATACAGACAGCAGTATGGTGGTTACCAGAGGAGGAGGGGGGGTAGGGGTGAGGGAAAGAGGAAGAGGGTAAAGGGGTCACAAATGGTGACTGAAGACTAGACTTCGGGTGGTGAGCGCACAATAGAGTGTATTATAAAGTTGTACATGGGAAATACATATACTGTCATTAACCAGTGTTACCCAATAAGTTTAAGAAAAAAGGAATTGCCAAAATTTTAAAACCAGCTATAAACACTAACCTCCCAAAAGAGGGGAGCCCCATTCTTCCAACCCCAGAGTAAAGGCCGTTTGGCCTGAGGAAACAGTTCTCTATTGACCCGAGCAGGAATTACATATTCTCAGGAGTTTGGGAAAATGAAGCCAGTAATTCTTTAAAAAGCAAACTTTGAAAATATGATTACTTAAACCTACACGTAGAAATAAATAGCTGCTTATAAAGCCATGTGCTGTCACCTTTTGAAAGGATGGTTTCTCCAAGAGCAGTACTTACGTCTAAATGATGTGTGACAGTTTGAAAGAACACACTTGAGGAGCGACATCATTTCTGTTTCTAAAGTCCTTCAAATCACTGGCTTTTAAATTCCACCCTGCCTCCCCCAGAGGATCAGGGTTCAGATATGAGGCAAAGTAAGCGCAGCACTTGGGCCTAATAATAAATGGAGTAATTAGGACACGTGACCACATGGTCCTGCAGTTTTACAGGGGTCTATGGGCAGCATGGACTTAGCAGGCCAGAACTTTCCTCTGAAAGAGAAACCCCCAAAGTAAGAGACAAAAACTCAACACCCACTTAGTGGCGGGTTCTTGTTGGTATCACCATCGTAGGCTGTTCACTGGCCTCACAGACGCTCCCCACCTCACCCTAGATGGGAGGACCAAGTTTCCCAGCAACTCAAGCCCAGAAGCAGCTCAGGCCTTCCCAAAGTAAGCCCCAGCTCAGCCTCCAGGCCCCGCGGGACCTCTCCGCCATCCAGCTTGGAGGAGACTCCAAGGTTCATCCTCAGGGCCTCCCCTCCTGAGGCCAGCCCTGTCTGTCAAGCTTTGGAGGAGAGCACCAGCCTTTTTCTAATTTGCCAGAACTACTGTCTTTTTGCTGTTTCTTACTTCTGGGGTGCAGTTTTGGCGGAAGAACTTCTCTATCTGGAATGTCCTTCCTTTACTTTTTTCTGATTTGCCAGACTACTGTCTTTTTGCTGTTTCTTACTTCTGGGGTGTAGTTTTGGCGGAAGAACTCCTTCTCTATCTGGAATGTCCTTCCTTTTGAATTTGCAGAGAACTTTGAGCAAAAATTTTCATATTTGTATTTTGGGGTGTCCTTTTAGCTTTAATTATTCTGTTTTTTCCCTGGTAATTTGTTCTATTTATTGATTATTGATTTAAATTAGTTGTTTCTCTAGTCTAATTTAAGAGATTGTCCATGAAAAAATTTAGAGAACATTTTATAATCCAAACACATAAACCTGGAAGGTTTTTTTTTTTTTAACCTGCACTTAGTTCTGTAAGTTCTCACTGGAAGTGGTTTTAGTTGGTGATGGGTTATTGTTTTGGTTTTTTTCGTCACCAGGACTCAGCAGGTCTCTCCATGTTTACCGGAGAAGAGGAAATCTTTGCATTTCAGCGCACAATTTCCCGACTGACAGAAATGCAGACTGAACAGTACTGGAATGAAGGCGACAGAAGCGCGCTGTAACCGCCACTTAAGCATGAATGAAACACTGGACAGATGATTCCCACAGGGAGAGCGTCTCTTTATTATGAGACTTGAAGAAATCATTTTCTCATCATTAATTATGCACTTTGTCCTCTGGACCACTTATATCTAAAATTGCTATCAAAGATGTAGTGGATTAGTAAGTTAAAGCCATTTCTATAAGTCTACTTTGTGCCTATTTATTTGGCCTTCCTTCTGCACCACAAAAATAAAACCAGCACTGCTGAGGTTAAGGTAGGACCAGACTTTTGGCTCCATAGGAAGCCATCTGAGTGAACCTTGAGTACACACACGCGGTAAAGGCAGGGTGTCTAGACACGTCCAAGCTTTGGCTGTGTGGCAGCCGCACAATAGAAACACATCTTGTGTGAGAGGAGGAAAAACCCTACGTTTCAACTGAAAGCAAAGAAAGCATTCTGATCTTACTATAAACTACAGGGAATAATACTTTGGAATATGGGCTTCCATATGTGATTGGGGCGGGGGGGGGCCTTACTAAATCTCCCAGGTCTTCAGGTTTTCTCACAGCAGAGAATCTATTTTTTACCCTGAGGTCAAGCTTGGCAGGCAGGATGTGACCTGCAGTGGACACAGAGTTGTCTGAAGAGATTGAGGATTATGACACCATGGGATAAGGCGCAAGGATGTCAAATTCTAACCAACAGGCAGGTTCCCCAACTCTGTAGAGGACGGATACCAGGAATGGGGACCTGTGAGAGTATCCAGAGGGGCCGAGTCCTGGACACACCAAGCAGCAGAGTGGTCTCCTGCCCACCTGAGGCCAGCTGGACCCGAAGGACAGCGCTCCTCCCACTGCTCATGCGCATTGGCTCTGGTTGCAGAACGCCACTCCCCACCCCTGCCTCTGCTTCTACTGCAAGAGGGGCCTGATGGAAATAGGAAAGAACGCTTGACGAATCTACTTAAATAAAACCCGATTTATCCTGCATCAAGGTCACTCTTTGATTCATTCCAGTACAGTCTGGCTTTGCTAACTTGTTACAGAAAGACTCTTAGTTGAGGCTGTTACAAAAGTCTAAATTCCCCTTAAAAGAAAAAAGAGAAGCAAAAAAAAAAAAATGAGAAATCCACAATCCGGTGGAAATCAAATATTTTTTGGAGGTAGGTGCAGGTGAGTTTGTTCAAATAAGTGAGTACAGTCATCAACATAAGTAAGCTCTTTGAACCTACTTAACTGATAAGTTACTAATCTATCCACATTAGTCTGTTTTGAACATTAACCCAAGCCAAGCCGATAGAGAGGTACCAAGTATAGAGAAACTTAACTTGGCTAAAAATATTTTTATTGACTTGAAACAGTGAGTTCAAAAAGACGTTAAATAGATTAAGCAGGAGAAAGGATGGGAAATAATTGCCAAATTTATTGTTAGACATTTACATGATCTCAGAGAAAAAAATTAATCCTAAGGAATTAATATAATCATTGCTGTTTATATATAAGGAGATTGAGGCTTGACCTGAGATTCCGTTTACAAAACTTCTATTATGTCTTCTACCACATGACCTCTATAAAAAAGGAAACATTTTTAATATTGATTTTTTTTTAACTCAGTAAAGGTGAGTTTGCAATAGAACTATTGCTTTTAACTCAATAAATATAAAATGTTTAACTTTCTCCTTTCAGTTGTAGCGTTTGGCTTTTCTGTGGCAATTGTGCTGTACCTTCAGAAAAGGACAGTGACGGACACAGACAAATGGACAGCCGATGGATGGAAACGGGGGGTTGGGGCTCTGGGCCCTGACATTTGGGTTCCTGATTGATTGTGGGAACCTGTCTGGCAGCAAGTGTATAAGTGATCTTGTAAATGACCTTTATCAGGCCCACTAACCTCACAAGACACCCCTTGCTGGTATAGAAAAGGATTTTCTTTGGAGATGAGTGTACAGCTTTTTCTTAAGGCGGAATTAAGATTCGCTTCTCCCATTGGCATAGCAGTTCATTTTCCTGGAATAGAAAATTAAAAATAATAAAATCTGTCCACTTGTTGAGTGACGGCTGATTCTGTATAGCTTTGCACTAGAAACCTCACATATGTTACCTCAGCGGTCACTCAGCCCAGTCAGACGTGTCTGCTGACCTGTTGTCTCTGATGGCGTGAAACTCCAGGAGGACGGCTGTCCATCTTTCTTGCTTGCGTAGGAAGCCAGCCGGAGGCTGTCCTAGGAGTTTCCTCCCTCGGGGCTGTCCTTCCAGGTCCCCGCGGGTGACTGCCGCTGGTCCCCTGATGGCGCCTACTCTTCGCACTGAGCGCACGGGAAGGGCTCGGGATCTGGTTCTGCCAATTTTTACTTGTGACCTTGAACTAGTGCTCTGAGGCTCCCTTTTCTCATCTATAAAAGAGAACAATACCCATTTCATAGAGTTATTCTGAGGATAGTTGGTGAAAAGCACTTTGCAAGTGGTGAAAGATAAATGCACAGTTGTTATTGATGCTAATGATTATGGTCATAAAGCAACAGCGAAGACCCGCTTCTGCTTTGCGTTAGAACCCCTGAGGAACCCAAAAGGGTAGACGACGAATCCCAACCCAATACGGCTCCTCGCAGAAGGGAGCATTCACATGAAGTGGCTGGACACCAAGGAGCCGGATTCTGGCTTAACGAGATGCTGTGAAGACTGAAATTCAAATCCATTCTTTCAGGATGACAGGGAAAATGGATTGTTCCTGTTTGGTGAGCGTCAAAGATTTTGCAGAAAGAGGGCCCCATCTTGTGGTCAGTGGGACAAACTGACAGAAAAAAAAGTCCAAGAACCACACAGGCCTCTCAAAGCTGCACCATTCCCAGGCCTTGCTCTCACCCCGGTCGAGTCAGATGCAACTGGTACAAACTGACAGAAAAAAAAGTCCAAGAACCACACAGGGCTCTCAAAGCTGCACCATTCCCAGGCCTCGCTCCCACCCCAGATGCAACTGGCCAGATGTGGGGCCCCAGGATCAGTACTTGCTAATGCTGCATGGGATTCTGATGTTGATAACCACTGACTAGTAGGTCTTGGTCATGACCACACAGCCATTAAGTACATAGGCTTGGGCCGAGTTGGGTATCCTGACTCCACCCCAGAGCACTTCCCTGGGAGCAGAAGTTGCTGCTCTGGGTCTGGGGCCCAGAACACTATGGCATCCCGCTGACCTCCCTGCTGCCTCCCAGTGCCTGGTCCTCTCCTTCCTCTACTTCTCCTCCTTCCCTAGGCTCTACTGCATGTCTTCACCCCCACGGACTGCAGAATAGCTAAACCAGCAGCGATTTCTTTCTTTTTTTTAAATCCTCACCTGAGGATATTTTTCCATTGATTTTTAGAGAGAGTGGATGGGAGAGGGAGAGAGAAAGAGAAACACTGATGTGAGAGAAACACATCGATTGCCTCCCACATGCCCCCCACCAGGGCTGGGAGCCTGCAACCGAGGTACATGCCCTTGACCGGAATCAAACCCGGGACCCTTCAGTCCGCAGGCCGACACTCTATCCACTGAGCCAAACCAGCTAGGGCACGATTTCTTCTGTACAAAGCACTTGCTCCTACCCTATCGTTTCATCCACAGCAATTCCGAGGGAGGTGTGATCATTCCCGCTTCCCATGAGGAAATGAAGACCCGAGGTAACTCAGCTGGGAACCACGTCTAGACCAGAACCTGTGCTCTGTGGCCTGCTGCTGCTCAGAAGCTTTCAGCACGTTGCCCCCTCAGCCACACCCTCTCTCCTCTGGCTTCTGTGGATTAATACTTGGTTCTCCCACTGCCTCTCATCTCTTCCTGCTCTGAATGCTTTTGGCTCCTTTCCCGTTTTCTCACCCCCTAAGTTCTTTCGTGGGCTCATTAAAAATGATAATTATAAAAACAACATCGAGTTTTATACAATGTACTTTCACACACATCATCTTCACATTCTTTCCTCGATTTCCACAGCTGCAAATACCACCTAATGCCAACAATAACTGTATTCCCATCCCTGGCTCCCCCCTGCCCCATCTCCTGTACTCCCAACTGCCTAGTGGATCTCTCTTCTTGACTGTTCTTCAAACTCAGAGTGTCTAAAATGGTACTGTTCTCACCCCTGTCTTCCATGCCCATAATATCTTCTTGCAGTGATATTGCCCCAACCACTCATGCAGCGCCAATACTCTGGCTTGACAAGGCCCAGAAAAGAAAGGCTAGGTAGGCATTAGAGTCATGTTGATGCATGATTGAGAAAGGGCTCAAGTAAGTATCAGTGCAGAACAGGACTTGGTGGTTGGCTAATTGTTGGAATGAATGGCAAGTCCAACAATCTGAAGGGAGGAGCCATTTGAGCAAACATGATCGCAGCACTCGGGCCTGTCCCGCATGTTCCTGCAGGACCTGAATCAGGCCTGGACTCTCCCAGGCCTCATCCACCTGGGGCTGAAGGTAGACTCTGGAGTCTTACAGAATGAGGCTGGCTTTGGAAGTGCTAGTGGTTGATAGTTCTCATTCTTCTCATTCATGCTTTGATTTATTTTATTTTATTTTTTTATATTTTATGATTTTTTACAGAGAAGAAGGGAGAGGGATAGAGAGTTAGAAACATCGATGAGAGAGAAACATCGATCAGCTGCCTCCTGCATATTACCCTACTGGGGATGTGCCCGCAACCAAGGTACATGCCCTTGCCCGGAATCGAACCTGGGACTCTTGAGTCCGCAGGCCGACGCTCTATTCACTGAGCCAAACCGGTTAGGCTCAGTGATTTATTGAGTAAACATTGTTTAAGTGTTTATTTGATTTATTGAGTAAACATTTTTTAAGTGTTTCTTATGGAATAGAATGGCATAAAAGCTTTAAAAATTGTGGTTAATTTTATAGGAGCATCTAGTTGTTTGTTATATCTTTCTTTAAGGAAAGCTCACCAATTTTGGTCCATTTATTTAAAAACTAGGATCTCCAAAGCTGACATAAGAGTGAGACTCTCCTGACTGGAGGCACCAACCTTTGTCTGGAGTATTTGGTCTTCGCCTGCCCCAAATGTCACCTTCTCCATAGTTTGGCTCAAGCAAGAGTAAGCCATACTTATTGAGTTTCCCCAGTCTTAGCTAAGCCAAAGACTTCATTCATGTTTGAAGATATAGATAATAAACTCAGAAAATACTTGGAATCTAGATAATCTGGCTAAAGCATTGAATTTTATCATCTTCAGCATGTGTCTCCCCTTTGTTTCAGCCCCACCTCCATATTCACCTCCTCTATCCCCTCCCACAAAAGGATACACAAAGATACTGGTAGCTCCAGGGCTTCTCTGGGAAGAGCAAGGTCCAAAAGCACCCCCTTCTTTTTTTAAAATATATATTTTATTGATTTTTTTACAGAGAGGAAGGGAGAGGGATAGAGAGTTAGAAACATCGATGAGAGAGAAGCATCGATCAGCTGCCTCCTGCACACCCCCTACCGGGGATGTGCCTGCAACCAAGGTACATGCCCTTGACCGGAATCGAACCTGGGACTCTTCAGCCCCCAGGCTGACGCTCTATCCAGTGAGCCAAACCGGCCAGGGCAAAAGCACCCACTTCTCCCACCGGGGTAGACATGATCAGAGCTCGCTCACATCCAGTTCTCTCCTTCCAAGCTTACAGGAGGATTACACTTCTGGCTCCTTGGCAGTTAAGCAAGGTCATGTGACTAGTTCTGAGCAATTGGTTGTGAGCAGAAGTGATGTGACATGTGTCACTTCCAAGGCGAAGCACTTATTAGCTGGTTTGAGATCTAGAGCTCTCTTCTCTTGCCATGGAAAACCTAGAAATGCCACCGGAGATGAAAGTAGCCTGGAATGCTGAGCCGCCACATGGGAACCCCTGGTGAAATACCACGTGCGGGCGCACATGTACAGTGCGATTGAAACTTCGTGGCCCATGCGCAGAAGTCGGTATTTTGTGGAAGAGCCACACTCAAGGGGCCAAAGAGCCGCATGTGGCTCGCG